TCGATCGCGTTTGGACTCGGTCTTGTTTCTCACTCAAGGTCTGACACTCAACAAGTGTGATCATATTTCATTACAATAAACTTGTAGCGGGTGCAGGAGCGTGTGGGGCGTCTCAGTGCAGCCTGTGCGCTCATTTGAAACCCGCGGAGACTCTACGGCACATCACAAACACACACGCTCCCTATGCACGGCTCGTCTGCAAACAGCGTGTGCCCTCGTGTACCAGCGTGCATCACAGGGCAGGTTCAACTTCCTAAACATCCTACCTGTCCATCTGCCTCACGTCAGCACGCCGCCCCTCGCCTTTTCACGCTCTCGCTCCTTCCTGCGTACAGCGAACACAAGCCCTCCCACAGTGCGGCTGATTAGAAGAGCAAGACCAAACGTGAAGCAAAAACAAATCTAAATTTGTGTTCCAGTGTTGACACAAAGCAGGTCTACAGCATAGAGCGGATCTACAGAACAGACCTACTGCCACATTTGGCTGAAGTTTGTCTAACAAAAGTGCACAAATGCATCTGTGTTTGTCACGATGTGCGTTTGGTTTGGTAAACGTGCAGAGGCTGGTAAATATCACTGCAAAACCAGAAAAGAATGCAACTCCAGTTTGGAACTTTAAAAAACAGGTTTAAAAATCTTCCTTCACTTTTTTCACAGTTTTGTGTAAAGTGTCAGAGGAAGTTCTCTTAAAGAAGAGGTTCTCAAACTGTGGGTGAGGGTCCAAAAAAGGGGCACAGAGTGTTTCAGTGCAGTTTGTTTGGCTTTGTATTAGGTAGAGCTTTATGACTTGGTCATTTTGTAAGTAGCTCTCATGCTGAAAAAGTGTGAGCACTCCTGTCTTAGGCTGTATAAATAAATGGCCATGGCTAAACCGCTCCAGTTCACTTTCTGTTGAAAAAAACTGGCCCTCTCTCTGTACCTGCTGCTGTCAGGCTCGTCATTTTTGCCTTAAGATGTTTGCATTAACCCGCTCTACATGATCCTGTTTTTGTTATTTTACTGTTTTGTTCATAAATATGAGCATTAATAACAGACCAGTCAAGTGCCTTCTTTCCCCAGAGTTGCTCATTGTAGTGTTTGCAGCAGGTCTGGTTAACACCGTTAAGCGCCCGCCTCTTTTGATTAGTCACTTTAACAGGAATAAGGAGTATGGTATGATGTGTCAATCAAAGGAAGGGAGTATGTTCTGGGCTGTTGTTGTCACTGTTGTGTGGGAAGTTACTTAAAGGGCCCATGTTACTTTGTTTTCTGATCTATGTTGTCAAATTGTACCCTCATCACAAACATGCATTGCATTGTTGTGTTTTGTTTCATTCGCACGTTAAACACATGCATACTTAAGCTGAGGGAGAATTCTTCTTCTTCAAGTTTACAAGGAAATATTAATTCCAAATTAAAGTTTACATGGAACACAAGTTAAATCAGCTTTATTTAATTCCACTGAACGTCTGGGGGAGGGGAAGGGACACCAATGTATTTACATCTACAGGAAGAAAACAGAAAACACTAGGGTGACCATATTTCCATTTGTGAAAACTCGGACACCTTACCTCGACATTGAGCTACAGTCATTCCTCGCTATATCGCGATTCACCTTTCGCGGTCTCGCCGTTTCTCAGATTTTTTATTTTTTTAAATCAATTTTTCATGTTTTTTTTTTACACATGGGTGGGTCAGGACTAAACCAGGTCTAAACCAGGACTAATCTTGGACTTAAGAGAGAGAACGCCAAGCAGTTTGTCTGCAAAGCGCGATTGAGCAATTGCCGCGTTTACCTCCGTGAAGTACCAATTACCAAACCAATTACGTAGGCACCGGGCAACAGAGGTATGGGTAACATCGGGCTGACCTGACACAAACATGGTCCAAACTTTTTCACCATCTTGTGTGTCGTCACGTCAGAGGGGTGACTTAACGCACATGCACTGAACAGGTTTAAGAACTGAAATAAACCACCCACTTAATTTAAGTTTAACTCTGAAAAATCATTAGGAATTAAGTGTTTACATGGTATTTTTTAAAGTGAAATTATTTTTTATTCCGAATTAAATTAGTTTAAAGCTCTCCCTCCCTGGAGAGGTGTTCCAGGTATGTCCCACCAGGAAGAGGTCCCAGAGAAGACCTAGGAGGAAGTGTCTGTGGAGAGGGAAGTCTGACTGATCAGGGTCTCCCAGGATGGATGGATAAAGCCTCCCCAACCCCCACCTCCCTCCTCCTGCAGTCTCCTGCAGAAAGAGACGCTGTCCTGTGTGTATCATGTCTGTGATTTCAGCAGATTTCAGACTCTCCCGGGGGCGGGGTTAGTTGTATCGATCAGGTATAAGTGGATGTACGGCTACTGAAGTTTGAGATGTTTCTTCTTGTCATTTAGCACATGTGGGTCATTAAGATGTGTGCCACTCACTAATGTTCATGTAGCATCATCATAAACTATTTGAGTGCCCTTACAACATCACGAGTTAATGCTGCACCTTCACATTAACCCTTGACCCATGTGTTAACCGCACTAACACGCCCGCTTTCTGGACTCAGGTTGTGCGTGCATCTGCTGTGTTGCCAAATCATAGACCGTATAGGGGTGTCCAGTACGTTGATCGCGGTGTAAATAATGATTTGGGTGGAAATGTCTGTCTTAAGTGGAACAGGGTTAATAATTGTCTGATTTTCAGGCAACAACTTGCAAAATGTTCAGTAATTCAAGCTCTACAACCTTCATTTCAATTTTATTTTAAATCTTTTTCTTTTAATATAGCATTGGTTTACTAATTCTTCCCTGATATCCAGGGATTATTCCCTGTTGCTTTCATCAAATATACATTCAATTGTTCAAGAGAAATGTTGCTGACAAACCAAAAGAAGAGGGAATGATTTTCTGACCAGTGGACCTTCTCACTACAGGGCCTCCTGACTAGTGGGCTTTCTGATGATAAGGGTGTAACCGTACATGTACATGTCTTTGTGTTTGCAATGTACTTCATACAAGCATGTTGCTCAAATGAAAATGAAAACAAAACAAAACAAAAACAAACAAAAAAGTAAAATTAAGAAACAGTTAGGCTTGTTTCGACTGGCTCCAGTAGACTAGACTAGACTAGGCAGAGCCAGTGGAGCATACTGTCCAAAATCAGGACTATTCTGGACTTTCCCACCCTCTGAGCCGCAGGAGCCACTGCAGAAACCTGAGCCCAGGACGCATGTGCTCGTACTTCCTGGTTGGAATCAGGACCCCAGCTGCAGTGTTGTAGATATACTGAAGCCTCTCACGCTCGTTTGGAGAGGTCACTGAGAGACTGTTACAGGAGTCTAACCTATTGGAGACAAATGCATGGATAAGTGTCTCCAACTCTGCTTTAGACAGTATACCTGTCTAAAGAGATTTTCAATTTTTTTTTAGATAGTAAAAGCTGCAGATGTTATTGATTTGATGTGGCTGTTGACTCTTTCCCCCATGAAAACGACATTTGACGACCCTCCCTGTACCCTTAATGACGTCTTTTTACACCTCTGTGTCACTAAAGACGTGATTTGACGACCATTAGAAACGGCTCGGTTTTTCACATTTAAACAGAGGTTGGTGGGGGTCACTATAAACCACACTAGGCTGACCAATAAGATTCAAGGATATGTTTTCGCTGATTTTTTCCGAAGTTAATCGAAGTAGTGACGATGGTAGCTTCTGGAAAAAACACAACATGAAACACGTGCAATGGAAAGATCGCGGCGCTGCGGCGCACAGTTTTAGAAATAATGAGGAGCGGACGTATTTTATGGATAAGTTTAGAGAAAGTGACTTTTATAGATTCCAAAGTGATGATGTTGAAGTTGATTATAAAGTGGAAAACAGAGATAGTGACGGACTTACAGAGAGTGAATCTTATGAAGGTGAGAATGCCGCTGATGAGTCTGTGTGGAGTCCTGCGATATCCAAATAAACTATCCAGGCTTTATACTCGATTATGAAACTAAATTGCCCTGAAATCTGGATGTTGCGAGTCCTTTAAAATATTTCAGTCTTTTTTTTTCAAGATGAAATGTATGACAGAATCACTACAGAAACAAACACTTATGTGGAGCTCTGCACACGAGAAAGTAACCAAGATGATAAATATTGAACACCCACTGACGGGGAAGAGTTTTTTTATTATATTATTATATTATAATAAGCTAAATGAGTTGAATAAGTTAAATGAGTTGAAATAAATTAAATAAGGTGAATAAGCTAAATGAGTTGAATAAGTTAAATGGAAAAAATGAATCAGGTCCACACAGGTGAACAACAGGTAAAAACAGGTGTCCACTTGGCTGTACTGTATCTGGTGATATGAAATCTGTTTAAATACTTTGACAAAGTATATTTTAATTTTTTTTATGAATATAGTACTCAGAACATGCAGATATCAGATGTATGTAATGTAGTTTTTTTGTTTTTCGATTTTGCACCTGACCAGGTAAACTCTCATTTTCAGTGAGCTGTTATAAACCTGTAAATGAGTTGAATCACATTTAAACATCCAGAAATGAAGAGTTCAGAGTCTAAGGTTTCCAGAGATACAAATATGTCTGTGTTACAATTAAGTTCATGAGTGTGAAAATCATTTATAATCACTCGTGGAAGTCTGTTTTCTTTTATGCAAGTATGCTCTAAGGGTAGAACTAGTAATATATGTAGGGGTTGTTCCTAGTAGGCGTCCAGGGGGGAAAGAGTTAAAGTCCATTATTACTTATTAGATTTCGTTCCTGATTTGAAGGTTTTAGAGAGAGAGACGGGAGGTGACTGCTGACACTGTCTCTTTGTTTCTGTGGTCCAAAAACGATTACTTGTGTCTTGTCTGAGTTGACTGGAGAATGTTGTTTTGCATCCACACACTGATCTGTTGGATGTAGTTGTGGCAACTGTGGCACATTTTCTGTTTTGATTAGGTAAGTTTAACAGGAATAAACTGTATGTGTGGTGAGTCATGAAAAGTGTTCAGAAAGAGGAAGGATGAAGGATGATATCATTGTTGTGTGGACAGATATATAAGATAGGGATTCTGACGATGCACGTATTTGATTTCCCCTCGAGTGAAGTCCTGGACATGACACGCCACACCATCTCAGTGCTGCTTCTTGGTAAGTTTTTTCTTGTTGATTCATAATGCACTCAGAGGTGGGTAGAGTAGCTGTTTGTACCCAAGCAAGAATAGCAGAACTGTATGTAAGATTTTTATTTTAAATTCAATAAACGCGACTTAACTGTGTCCACAGATCTGAGGTAAACATGTTCTAATCAAATGCGGATTTATTCTGAATTACAAAAACACTGGACATGGTCCTGTTGTTTGGTTCTCAGGATGAAGTTACAGAAGGAGAAAATGTATATTAAACCATTTTTAAACCATATATTAATCTATATCTTGTAATTTAGCTGGGATTTTTGTACCTTTTTTCAAAATTGTAAGAGCTTAGGCTACATACAGTTACTTTAAGATATTGCTCAAATAAAAGTACAGTAATGAGCCACAGAAGTGCACAAGGAAGAGTAAAAAGTATTTGGAGAAACTATTTGAGTACAGAGAAATAGTTTGGACATAAAATGTATTGATGAGTTATTGTAGTTGGACAGACATGACATCAGATATTACACAGAGTCTGGTATTTCCAAAGAATGGACCTACAAATGACAAAAGCAAACCATATCTGAAGGTAGAAGTGTCCAAATAATTCATCTTGTCAACGTAAAGCTTTTGTCACCATAGACTTAGTCAGAGTGGGACAATGAAAAATTTTGCTCAAGTATTTGTAAAAAAAAAAAAAAGTATTTAAGTAAAAGTAGGTGTCAAAAAACTGCTCCGAAAAGTACAAGTTTTGCAAAAGGGCCCAGTTAAGCAGAAGTAAACAGCAAGGCCAAAAGTTAATGCATCTGATATAAAAATGTATTGAACAGATACATGTGTACTCTAGTTTATGAAACTGTTGACCTTTTTTCTGTACCATTTTTGGTTTTAAAGTTCCATATGTTTTAAACAGACCAAAGACCTGCAAATCATGTAAATAAATGGATGTATTTCATCATATCTTGTGTTATTCCATCTTTGAACTGTTGATGAAGGGACATGATTTAAAAAAAAAAAAAAAGTTGCTTGGAAGGACTGACATATTTTATAGAAATAGTTTCCTTTCATTTTGAAGTAATATTAAAGTATTCAGAAGAAAAAAGTTGACAAATGATGTAAAATCATGCACCTTCTACTTGCTTGCACAATTTTCCCTCCGTTACTTTTCCCTCCGTTACCATGACCTGCATATTTGTGCTGCATATTTCATTCCCTCCGTTACCGACATGAGTTTTTTATTTTTTTGTCAACAACTTGAAAGAATATCACAGGTTTAACTTGACCCTGTTGGAGTGTAACTCTTTCCTACATTCTGATACTTTACTTATTTCAATAGTCCCTCTAGTTTCTGAATAAGAGACATTTGAATGTAAAACATCTGCCCCTGTTTCCCTCCGTTACCTCTTGACCGAACCCAAAAGTAAATGTAACTGAGAACAGTGGCTTATCTCACTGCAAGAAGGTTGGGGATTCACAGTAAATAAAATCCTCCAGCAAATGCAGAGTTTCATTCACACATGTTTGAGTAACCTTTTATTAGTCTGTGTACATGTCCAAAGCTCAAAATGCTCTGTTTCATCTTGTGATGTCATGAATTGCTTGTTTGAGTCAAAGGCCACTTTTATTTATTTTGGGCAAGTAACAGATTTACAGTCTTACACAATGGAACATACAACATCCCTAAAATAATAGACAATAGAAACAACCACAAGAAAAAATAAAGGTACATATATTAATAGTTAATAGTAAAATGCATAATAAGTGTTTAATTACATCTTTGTTAGTATTTATAAAATACTTTCAATGCATTTTTGTCTAAGGCTGTATTTTGCGAGGACTAACCCATTTACTACTTTCTTCAGTTAAAGGGATAGTTGGGGATTTTGAGATAAATCTGTCTGTCATCCCCGTGAGCAGTGTCGTGCATCAACACTGACTTACCCCCAACAGCGTCCGGTGAGTCGAGATACTGGCCGTTTTCTGTGCTGATGAAAGTAGTCCGACAAGTTGGCTGGGGACTGTATAATAAAGTGTTTTTCTTGTGATACATTTGCATCACAAAACCATTGTCGCCTAAAAAGTCAGACCTCATAATCACTTGGTACTATTTTCTTTCCGTCCGTATCACTGCGCGCTGCTCCCAGGTGACAGCCACACCTGGTTCACTTTGTTTACTGCTCGGAATGTTAGCGACAACATGTCTGATTACAACACCGACAATAAAGACTTTGCCTTTACCACAAAGCCAAGGGGAGATCTTTATGAACCTGAATATACTGATGCCGATTTCACCAGATGGAGTTAGAACGAGCAGAGAGAGAAGAGAGACAGAGAAGTGGTACAAGTTGAAGCTGAAGCCGTGAGAGACCGAGTGACACTCACCATCACGTCATTTATAAACTCATATACAGTGAACATAGAGCCTCCACTGTGACTGAAGCATGGACGACTAATAGAAACATGGAATCATCCACACGTCCACGTAGCTGCTGCCAATAGTGTACGAGACATTTACAATAGTAATAACAGTCGATTATAAAGTTATGTTTTGTAGAAGCTTCACTGGTGATATGACACTGAGTGATTTACTGCACACAGAGTTACAGCTGATTCTTGAGTCTGTTCTCTTGTAAACACAGCGGCACTTCTTCGTTCTTACCTGGTTTGGTTTCCACATTGAAGCCAAAGGCAAGAAGCCAAAGTTTCCTCAGTGCAAAGTCCGTGACAGGAAAACGGTGACGTGTGTGGAGATTCAGACAGGTTTTTGTTGTTACAGCCTGGAGAATCAAGAGTCCGCACCATTTTTTAGATATATTCTTATGTATCTTATACAAGCTCATATACTTATGGCTCTAGTTCTCAAAAACTGCCGAACAACTGCAGAAAATAATGGATTCGTGCGCGACTGTCACCTGGCGGCAGCACGCAGTGATACGAACGGAGAGAAAATAGTGCCAAGCGATAATGAGGTCTGACTTTTTTGGCGACGATGGTTTTGTGATACAAAAGTATCACTCTTTTGAACACAGATTGTTTTGAGAAGAAAAAAAAACGCTTTATTATACAGTCCCCAGCCAACTTGTCGGACTACTTTTATCAGCACAGAAAACGGCCAGTATCTCGACTCACCGGACGCTGTCGGGGGTAAGTCAGTGTTGATGCACGACACTGCTCACGGGGATGACATACAGATTTATGTCAAAAATCCTGAACTATCCCTTTAAAGTAGTGGAGATAACAGTAGATGTTGTTACATACACTGAAATCTTAATAAGCATCAATAAGTGTTTGATTAATACCAACTCATAGCTAAGTAACTGCTAATTAACAAACCAATTACCACTTAGTTAGCTGTTAATATGTGGTCCTAAAACTAAAGTGTTACCACATTTTTATGCCCAAAAAGGTAGAGCTTGGCAATTCCAGGGCTGAAATGATCTAAATGATTCCACTGAAGGTGTGTGGAGTTTAAAAACACAGTAGAGCACTTACCACCTGACATCACAAGGTGGAACAGAGTGTTTTCTGTTTGAGAGAAGAAGTCAGCAGAAATATAGAGGATTTGTGCGTTAAACATGTTTGAATGAAACCAAACACCACTCCAGGTCTGTTTGTGATAGAACTGATATGAATTTTTAAAAATCCAATACGATACTGATAAAAAGGGCTTTGGAGGTGCCGATAGCCGATATAAACAGCCGCTATATTTAGTGGTGTTAAAATTCACTGTAAGTCTTCAGTTGATTATAAAACCCAGGTTTGACACTATTTGATTTTAAGGTGGGTTTATTTAGGCGACATTTACTGTTATTTTACCTTTTTACAGTCGTATTTGAGAGGCACATCTGCTAATGCCCCCGCTCGACCATCTCAGATTTGACTGAAAAAATTCTAAGAGGTTCACACACTTTCCAATAGGAAAAGTCTCAAAAACTTCTTATAGTATCGTCGTTAAAAAATAATTTGTCAACTCTCCCCCGACCTGTTTTGAGCAGAGTTTTCCAACGAGCCACTTTCAGATTGCTATATTTAAAAACTACTTAAGGTTGGTCCTTCAAATTTTCAAGGCAAATTTTAGCAAATGTACCTGATTTCATGACACACACCTTAAACTCAGCAAAATGTTTGATTTCATTCTTCATAAACTATACTTGAAGTATAACTTATATGCAGTCTTTAGATATAGAAATAGAAACGCGTCTGTGACGATCCTGTGCAAAGACGCAACAAACAGAGGGAGGTGAGGGGTTATATATTTTTATTAACTAAAGAACTAAAAAAAGTAGATTTGCAAATGCACTGGCAGTGCCAGGTACCAGAGAAAATCACTGTTACAAGCCAGTGCAACAACATCTGAGGTCAGCAAAGTGTCTTGGAATAGCTGGATTTTTTGTCCACTATGAGACAGAACATGCAGAAGAAGAGGTTCCACAGGGCTTCCAAATCAGTGACATGATACCTGGCCAATATGTAACTTGTGTTTACAACCATCACCGGTGGGTGGGAAGCATCAGAGAGACATCTGAAGCTCAGCAAGATGTTCAGATACAATTCATGCATCCACGCGACCCAGCAAAAAGATTCTTCTGCCTATATACAATTCAGGAGTGTTACACCAAAACATCTGAAAGTTTCCTCAGAGAGTTGAGATCATTTACAATAGTTGAGTAATCAAATCAAGCTTTTTGTTGAGTTTAAGCTCAACAATCAGAGTGTTTTCTTAGCTTCTGAAAGAGCCTTCATAGTCCATGAATGCTCTGCATGTGTGCGGACATCACATTTTCAAAAAATTATTTTGCAAAAATAAGGCAGAACACCATCACAAATTTTGGATATGTTAAAAACAGACATCTAGTCTTTCTAAAACTGTCCATTTTATGTTGGTGGGTGCTGTCATTTTTCTGGTATAACATGGTAAAGATGGCACCAAATGTATTTTTCCATTTTTAACACTTAATATCTTGTCTTCATCACAGAGGCTCAGTTTTAAATACAAAGTACACACACATACGCATGTGTGGGAAGGTTTATGTTCAATATCAAACTCTGTCTTTGAAATTGCACTTTCCACAGTCCTTCAAAGATGCCCTCATATTTGAAGAGTAGAATTATCAAGTAAATTCAAGCCCCCAGAAATCTGTGATAAACCAAAAGCACATGTGTAAAAGTCTAGATTTTACAAGTACATTTGACTAATTTTAACCCTTGAAAACTTGAAGGACCAACCTTAAGTAGTTTTTTTTTAGATACAGCAATCTGAAAGTGGCTCGTCAGAAAACTCTGCTCAAAACAGGTCAGGGGGGTTGACAAACTATTTTTTAATGACAAAACTATAAGGAGTTGGGGGCTAAAATGTGTGACTTTTCCTATTGAACCTCTAAGATTTTTTTCAGTCAAATTTGAGATGGTCGAGTGGGGGCATTCAGAGATTTGGCGTGGAATGACCCACCTCTGATTGTATTTTCTTGGCTGACATAATGGTGGTCTCTTATTATTTTACTAATCAAACCTGTTTATCTCTTGGAACAGTGCTTTGCTGTGGAGGGTCACTCACCAGAGCAGTGAAATATCTGGTAGCGAGAGAAGGAGAAGACTTCAAATTCAAATGTTCATTTTACAAACGTGGGTTCTATAGGATCTTCTGTAAACACCGCTGTGAGTCAGGCAGGGATTTTTTGTTTATTTCCTCAAGAGACTCAAGAGAAAATTATGGGAAATACAGTTTTACATTTGAGGAGCGTGATTCATATCCAGATGTGATGTATGTGACCATCCGAAATGTGCAGAGATCTGACGAGGGAACATACAGCTGTGCTGTGGCTGGCTTTCAGTGGAGGTTTGTGGACGTCGAGATTTCTGTCACAAGTGGTAAGTTTTGTGTTTTTATCTTATCATTCACAGGTTCCTCACTTAAAGTTGCACTATGTAACTTTTTTCTGGTGGGGGTTTTGCCTGTTATTGATGATTGCATTGGTTGGAATATTCCCACAGTTTGGCATTAAACCCTTTTTCTATTACTGGTGTTTTTATTGTTAAAAATACTTTCTTATTGAGAGGTTGACTCTCCCCAGATCTGACCTGTAGCTTGGGCTGGTAGCAGCCCCCTTTGTCTCCATGGAGATTGGTGAAGTTAAACAAAGTTATGAACCCCGTAGAAGAGAATAGACACTGTGTAGCTTTAATCCAACAGCACAAACCATGTAAAAATAATATATGATGCCATGTGCAAAATGATTATGTCTTTTGTCTCCAGCTAAAATTTCTGGACCTGGAGTCCCCGAGGGCCCCAGTGCATCTGAAGCTCAGCAGGACCAGGACCCACTATCTGGTATACCCACATTTTATTTATGAACAAAAAAAAAACAGAACAAAAAACAACTAAAGCAAACACTGAAAAACTGTTGGCTAAACTAAAGTCTAACTCAGACAGAGCAGTGCACTCAGTTAACTTCACCTCCAGGGAAAAATCTCCAACACTGTTCCACCTTGTGATGTCATGTGACAATACAGGAAGTGCTCCACTGTGTTTTTAAACTCCCAACACCTTCACTTGAATTTCAGCCCTGGAATTGCCGTTCTTCACTAAACAAAAGCTAAAAGGAGCTGTTAACATGAAAACTACTGCTTTATGCAATTACAAGGTGGAACAGAGCATTTTGAGTTTTGGGGATGTAGACAAACAGGATTACTCAAACAAAACATAGCTCCAGGTATATTTCAGATGAGATAACAACATTCTAACATGGCCTGAAGCTCACAAGAGTCAATTTTGTGTAATATAGGATCTCTGTAAAAGCCTTCATCAAGATGTCTGATCACGTGTCATATTTATGATGATTTGACACTGGATAAAAAGGGCAAAAGGGATGAGTGCAGCATTGAGAGGACTGTCAAACAAAATCCACTCAAGTATTTGGAGGAGTCTCATAAGGACTGAGGCTGTCAGTGCATCGAGAGCACAAATGAAGCCTATATGGGACATGAGACGATGTCAGAAGAGTCTTACCTGGGCTGTGGAGAAAAAGAACTGGACTATTGCTCAGTGGTCCAAAGTCCTCTTTTCAGATGAAAGTACATTTTGCATGTTACTTAGAAATCAAGGTCTCAGAGTCTAGAGGAAAGTGGAGATGCACAGAAGTCTTCTGCTTATGCTTGAAGTCCAGGACAAAGTTTCCACAGTCAGTGATGATTTGGAACTGCCATGTCATCTGCTGATGTTGGTCCACTGTGTTTTCTGAAATCCACTGGACCAGGACATTTTAGAGCACTTCATGCTTTCTTCTACTGACTATCTTTATGGAGATGCTAATTTCACCTGCTTATACAGCCCCCAAGACAACTGCAAACTCGCCTGACCTGAACCCCATCGAGAATCTATGGGCTATTGTCTAGTTTCTAATTTGAGATGTGCCTGTACTAAATGTGGTCTGGAGATCATTTGAATTCATGTGAATTATTGTTGTTACAGATGTGGTGCTGTATGTAGGACTGAGCCTGAGCGCTCTTCTGATCCTGTCAGTGACACTCGCCTCATTTATACTGAACCGGAGAAAGAGAGCCAGCACAGCACCAGGTCAGACACCTGCAAACACAGCAAAGTGGAAGTTTCTACTCGAAAAAGTGAACCATACATGACCAATTAAAAGTTTGGACAAAGTTTGGACAAAGGGTTGCTATGAGCATTTGTTTTGAGCATTTGGATATACAATCTAAAAATATTAATTCTACATAATTCTAATATATCTTATATCACATATCACATCTGTGAGTGTGTGTCGAAAATGTAGACTGGTGGAGTGTATGTATATTCATTCATCCAGGAGTAGTCCATAGTAACAAATGTAACATGTTAGTAGAAACCACTGTAACTATATGTTTGTATGTTCACACAGAATCCCCCCAGACTCCAGGATATGATCACCTACTGGAGGTGAGTCTTCTTCAGATCAGTGTCCACATTTATGCTCTTTATTCATAACGATGTAACAGAATGCAGTTGTCTGTACAACAACATTTTCACCGACACTCATGAAGTTAATTCATCCAGAAAGTCAACAGCACAAGTATTAGTGCAACTTTCAGACATCAGAGAGGAGTTCTGTCGCCACATTAAAGCTAACAACATCCAGCCAGAAATCTATTAAAATAACTGGAGAGGGTATTGCTAGCTCAAAGCTGTCTTGAGTTGGTGTAGTGGGCACTCACTGGAACTTCAGTGAGAGAAATCCTCCTGCCCAGGAAGGATTTTTCCCATAGTGCACAATGTAATCACAAACTGCTCGTATTTGGCTGACAGGGCACCTACAGCTATCAAAAATGTCGTGGGCTCCGCTCTATCTACTTTTGCTCTGATTGCTCAAAGTGGCCACATGTGTTGGCGTGTGTCCGCGTGAGAAAAATAGTACTGCACAAGTTCAATAGATAGAAAGCCACTGGAAGTACCTAGCGGGGCTAGGCTAATCTAGAGACATGTGCCATACAGCTTGGCCCGTTGACTTTAATGGGTGAGTATGTTGAAGTCAAGTGCTTAAGATGAAGCTGCGTTTCCATGTTGGACTTGGAAGAAGTTTATGCTTCACGCTAAGGGAGCGCAGCAGGTTTGGTGTTGCATGAGCATCTTTTCCTGAAAACGAAATAAAGACAAGGCCAATAAAAGACGAGAGGGCAGCAGCAGCAGAGGACTGTACAGAGCTCCACTAATACACACTCTATTGTTCCACTGCTGCTCTGAGTAATGAGCAATGATTCAATTAGAAAGAAATGGTAAGATTGTGATCAAAGAATTGGACTTTGTTTCAAATGGTACATTTTACAGAGCACCCCTGAAGAGGTTCCACCTGACAGCAGACAGAGCAGAGAAGCTCCTGTAGACATCATCTCAGACTCCTTCACTAACCCCATCTACACCGAGTAGTCTATGTACTCTGCTCCTATTGGTCCACAGGTAAGAGAGTTCAGTGTGTTTACAGAGCAAGAATGCTCATGTTTAGCTGTTCTAGACAGTGTGGTGCTTTATGGTATTCAGAGCTGGTTTAGAAACCTGTCAGTGGCTGCACTGAATGCAACTTTCAAACCTTGTAAGAAGAGCACTCACGACCTATGCAATGTCTTCCATCCATCTTCTTCCTTTCCTTTAAAAATGACTTTATCCCATTCTCTATATGATTTGTTAATGGAACAATAGACTGTAGCCGATGCCTTCCAAATAGAAAGGCACTGGCTCCAAATCATTTTCTTTTGAATAATGTAAGTCCCTGTCTCTGTAACTGCTCATTCAAGTTGTTTAGTTCTAACCCACTTCTGCCAGCATGATCCTGGCATTTTTATTTATTTATTATAGTTCAATATAAATCCTATAAATCGATATATAAACTATAATAACAGAGCAATCCAGTGCCTTTGATTGATTGATTGAAATTTGATTGATAACTGTTTCATCTTTTTGCTGAGAGGAGGGGTGAGTATCTTCAACAGTGCTGGTTACAGTCTATCTGCACATCACTACAGACCAACTGTAACCTATAATATGTACCTATGCACATTATAGCCTGTATTATGAGCTGCACTGGTACAGTATGTATCATGAGCTGCACTGGAGCAGAGTGCTCATGTTGTTAGACGTGTTTGGTACTGCACAGTACAGGGGCTGGATCTTTCCATACTGGGGCACAGCTGATGTATACTGGGGTATGTGCTTCAGTAAAAAAAAAAAAGGTCTAGTGACGTCCCTGGTTTACAGCAAAGTGTGAGCTTGTTGTGCAAATGTATGAGGCACAATAAAATGTCCCTCACCTTAAGTTTATCTTCAAAAAACATCACTACTGCAGACAGCTCTTGCAGCTTTACATGCAAGAATGATTGGACTAAACCAGGACTAATGTCTTTGTATGTCATATTATATAATGTATGTATGTTTTTTGTTTTGTTTTTTTGTTCCAGCTGAAAGCTCCAGTTTGTTACATGCTGTGCCCCCCAGTGTCCGACTGCACAAACTGAAAAGGATCCTCTATACTTTTTCACTTCACTTCAGAAGTAATTATGCAATCACTGTTTTAAGCCTTTTTTTATTTGCTTTATGTGATGTGTTGTAGTAGTTTTCTTGAATTTGTGAAATATAACAATAACTTGGGTAGTACAAAGTTGGAGTTAAGGTCTTATATTATATGCTATGGTCATGGATTTGGTATCTTTTTTTTTTTTTTTTTTTTTTATTTAAATAACTATATGAATGGAAAATGTAAACCTGAATTCAGTAATAATTTCTATGCACACATAAAGTCATTGTAGCCAGCAGAAGGCGTATGGGACTTTTAAATTAAGCTAAAAAGTGAAGTGTATGAACATAGAGGATACTTTGTCACCTTTAGGAGCCAATGTGAGTGTAGAATTATTCAAAGATACAATGAGTTTGTAATGAAGGAACATTATTGTGCAAATAAAACTGGTCAGTTCAATCAGTTGTGCATTATACTGGCCCACACTCCACAGTCCTGTCAAAGCCACACCCCCTTTTCTGTCCCCTTCTCATAACTTGTGTGCATGCTTGCATCTCTACAAACCTGACGCGTATTTGGCATGGAGCCTGGAGGAGTCTCTCATGTTTGTTTCCATGGAGATGAAAAATCTGGGTCAACTGCTCACTTATCGTCCAATAAAATGTGTAAATATTATTTCTCCGCATTATTTCTTATCATTTATGGGGTAGATTAAAAAAGGGTAGATCCTTCTGAACAGACTTTCCTCTATTGGCAGTACTGACACGCCTCAACTGGTTTCACTGCTGTCTTTCAGACCACACTCAGTTCAGACCAGCTCTAACATGAGGTCTGTTTTTTTTTTTTTTTCTTTTTATGATCATTTATTGTTGTAAACTGACCTTGAGTGTCTACTAGACCTATTCACTGGGAACATGTTTTTGAAACTAATGGAGGGAGAACTGGAGGAACAGCTGTAAGGCTGTGCACAAGAAGGGCATGAGTAGACTCTACTTCAGGTCAGGTCTTTTAATGTGTGCAGAAAGATACTGGAGATCTTCTACCAGTCTGTGGTGGCAGTGCCCTGTACTTCACTGTGATCATCTGGTGGAACAGCTCCAAGAAAAGGGACATTTGGGGGATTGACAAACTGATCTGTAAAGCTGGTCTTACAACTGTACAACAACTCACCCTTATGTAACAGATAATACTCCCTACAACTGTACAACAACTCACCCTTATGTAACAGATAATACTCCCTACAACTGTATAACATCTCACCCTTATGTAACAGATAATACTCCCTACAACTGTACAACAACTCACCCTTATGTAACAGATAATACTCCCTACAACTGTACAACAACTCACCCTTATGTAACAGATAATACTCCCTACAACTGTACAACAACTCACCCTTATGTAAAAGATAATACTCCCTACAACTGTATAACAACTCACCCTTATGTAACAGATAATACTCCCTACAACTGTACAACAACTCACCCTTATGTAACAGATAATACTCCCTACAACTGTACAACAACTCACCCTTATGTAAAAGATAATACTCCCTACAACTGTATAACATCTCACCCTTATGTAACAGATAATACTCCCTACAACTGTACAACAACTCACCCTTATGTAACAGATAAGCCTATATCCTGTCAATCATATCATTGTAGCACTGTTTTCCTATGACCTCTTGTAAACAGCTGAAATTTTATATTTTATTACTTATCTATTTTATTTTGACTTGTACATTTACATTTATATAATTATTTCTTATTTGACATCTGTCTCTTGCTTTTTTATGACTTATTTAGAATGAATTATTACCATTTATATATTTACTCTTTGTTATTATATTATGTTGTGATGTGTGAGCTACTGTGTCCAAATAATTTCCCTTGTAGGATTAATGAAGTTTTTCTAAATCTAAGTCTTGTTATGCTAAGAAAGTAATTTGCTCTAACACATTAACAAACCCATTGCCCCAGCACTGGTGATAAGTGAGTACAGGACTGCGGTGGACCACTGTTTCAGCATGCTGCTTTAGAACACTTTAAGTATGTTTGGAAATGCTCCTAATCCCAATTCTTGGTACAGTTGGGGAGGGTGGGTTAACTTTGGGAGCCCTGTGTGAGTGAGTGTGACTGTGTATTTCATGTGTTGTAAATGTCTTTACTTTACTGCTGCTTACGAAACATCGTTTAGTGAATTGTTGAGATTAGGAACAATTTAATATTAACAATTTGTTAAGAAAACATTAGTTATTCCATGAACCTAACCAAGTCAAAGCAGTCTATGACACCAGAACCAGTCGAAACAAGCCTATAAAGATCAGTAAGGAGGGTTATGTTGTGGGGTGGAGCTAAACATATCATAGTTATACATCAGAGAAGTGACAGTCTGTGTCATCAACATACAAAATTACATCCAAAATACAGGGACTATTTATACACAAGAAAGACTTGAAAAATAACTTTCTAATTAGATGCAAAATGCAAGTAGGTGAGGACATAGCTGGCTCATTATCAAATCAGTGTGCATGTGCAACATTAGGCAACATTAGGCCCCTCACTCTGTAACTGCTGCAGCATTTTGCTCTACACGATCCTGGTGTTTTTATTTCACTATTTTGTCTATTAAAAATGTCGTATTCCTAATATGGAGCCTGGCTTCAAATTCGCTCTGGTAACCGTGAGCATCGTGAGCTTCATTGGAGTGGAGCCAGAGGCTATGGGTGACGTCACACTCACTTAGTCCACTTCTTTATACAGTTTATGGGTGCAGCATCATGTGACTGTCAGCATTTCTAAGCACTCGCCGGCTGAGCCAGGGTTGCGAGTGGAAAAAACAGCCTCGATTGGCTTCATTTGGCTGGAGCCAAATGCCAAGAGTCTATGCTGCAAATGTGGCTAATTGTGATTCTGATGTGTCACATTTGAACACATATGGGATTAATACTGTTGGGACACATTTTCTGTTTTGATTAGGTAAGTTTAACAGGAATAAGCAGGATGTCTGATGTGTGTGTTCAGGAAGAGGAAGGCCTGGACATGACACTCCACACCATCTCAGTGCTGCTTCTTGGTAAGTTTCCTCTCATCGATTCATGATGCACTCAGAGGTGGGTAGAGTAGCTGTTTGTAGCCAAGCAAGAATAACGGAACTGTGTATGATTTTTATTTTAAATTCAATAAACATGATAAACAGATTAACATGTTCTAATCAAGGCAAAGGAGAAATTCAATTCAACTGGACAAAAGTTTATTTTGGTCAAATATTTTGGTTTCGCAGTTCATTCAAGCTGCTTCTTCAGTTCTTGTTTTCAGTATAATCATGCAGGTCCTACCCCAAACAAATGACCTTCTCCTCTACTTTTGTTTGCTCAAACTACACATGTTAAAAATAAACCCCTCGGGATTTTCAGCAGGTCTCAGACTATAATAAAAAAGACACTTTTACTTTTCCTGTCCTGTTCAAAAATGTGGTGGAGTAGAAAGTACAGAATACCTGCTCTCAAATGTGGCGGAGTAAACAAGAACGTATCCACTTTAAAATCTACTTCAGAAAACTACAGATACTTTTTTTTTTTTTTAAGTACAGTACTTACCACTGACAACAACATGACTATTTTGGATTTATGCCATCGTAGATCAAGGGACCTCAACTGGAGATTTGTCTAAACGTTAGTCATTGGTCATTAGTCATTAGTCATTAGTACACAGAATCTGGAGTTGCAAACGGGGACAAAACTTAGAGGAAATTCAAACTATTGTATAAGCATTAAAACTGACAGTACACATGAAACTGAAAGGGTTATGAACATAAAGATAGTGCTGTGATGACTGTTTAAGTTCCTATTTACAGTATTTTCCACACTATTAGGCGCTCTGGATTATAAAATGCACTGTCATAGAATGATGTATTTTTGAACTTTTTTCACAAATAAACTGCACTGGACTTTGTTTGACGCCGTTACAGGCCGTCGTATTTGTTTTGTGTGCTCCCGTTCTTCTCTATTTGCTTTTGTGTGTGCATGATGCGCTCGGTCCGTGAGCGCTGGACCCGGATGCGTGGGAGCACCAGATGCCGGACGGAGGCTGGCGTCACAGCGTGTCGAGGATTGGCCGGTCACCCTTCTGCCCTCACCGATCCGCGGATGCCACGTGTGGGAGCGGGGGTTTAAAAAGGACAATCTTCCGCCTGCTCGGGGAGGCTGGATCCCTGCGGCCAGTTCACCCTTTTTGTTTGATTCTTTGGTTGTCTCACTTTGTGTTTTGTTATATGGCTGGCTGTTGCCTCCGTTAGTTCTTTGAGACACCTTTTTGTTCGCATTGTACTTAGTTAGGGCTCCTTAGTTTATTAGATTATTTTGTTTAAATCCTTTTTATTTTCTCCTCAAATTCCTGTTTTTTTTTTTTTTTGGTTTTTTTTTTCTTTTCCTACACTGTAAATAATAAATGCACAATTTTTAGTTAAACCTTAAAACATCCTGGTTTTATTGTTACTTCCCTTTCTCTCCTAGCAAATGGGATGTAACAGGCACGTTCACGGTGACTCTGGGCTTTGTTCAGTTGTGGCGTGTAGGGAGGGGGCTGTCTGGAACCGCTGGATTGTTGACGTGTTCGCAGTGACTCAGTTGTTCAGTTGTGTCTAGAAGTGGCACATTGCACTCGCTTTTTCGGTTCGTTCCTCCGTTCCGTTCCTCGTCGGCGTGGAGTGATGAGTGTGTCTGTTGGTGTGTTTCGCTGCACGTTCGCTGTCTGCTCTGTGTGTGTTTGCGTGCGCTGTGGCTTTGTAGTTTACTGAGGTCGTGCTGGGACACCCCAGTGGATTCGTGTATAGGGCGCTCTGGATTGTGGGGCGTGCAGTCGTGTTTTGATGAGGTTGGAGGCTTAAGAGCACGTGCTGTGGTGTGGAAAATACAGTACTCCCTCCAACTGTGTGAATGTACCAGTTTTAAACCTGGAAAATTTGCTGTTGCACAATGAGCTGGACAAAAGTGAATCTTTGACAAACTGACCGCAATGAAATTACACATTTATAAAAGTTATGAAAAAAGATCAGAGGACAAAATTGGTTCAAACTGTCCCATCTTTACTGCTTTGCCTCTGAAGTAGACATTTATAAAAGCTAAAAGTTGAAAATCGAAATGTACGTGGGGCCTATGCTTTTTTGCACTCTACCTGCTCCTACTTAGAGAAATTTTTAAAAAACCTTTGCCAGAAAGATTGACAGATTTACTTGCAAAGAAAGATCCCTGACGCCTGACACTCCTACTCGACTGTCCATCTGGCGTCAAGGCTTGGATGGCCTAAAACTTTTTGTAAAACAGAATGAAGCAAAGACTGAGGTGATACTGTTTGGATCCGGTTGTACCCTCTTGTACCCTCTTTAATGTGGGACCCCTCAAAGATTATGTGATCAGATCAATGGTGTTTTAAAATCAAGTTTTTATCATTTGCGGCTTTAATCCAGAGTCAAACCTTTTTAAACTTTCTGAACAAGTCATGCGCACTTTTATTTCATCACGCCGGGACTACTGTCTTTATATGGAGTAAGAAAGCTTTCAGAAATATTCGTGCGCATAGAATAGAAATCCGTGCGTATCTGTCTGTAGTTGCAATAAAATAAATATTTGTAAACTCTTGAATGAGTCCAGTCGTACATAAAACATATTGTGTGCATTTTATCCATCAGAATACGAATTGAAAAGTTGACGAACGTCAAGAATTACAATCACGAAATGAAAATTAACGATTACACTTTCATCAGTACGAATACGAATTCACAGACTCGACTTTATTGTCAAAAAGACAACATTGATCAGGATCAAGACTGCGCAGGCTTAAGTTTGTAGCAGAGAGTAAAAACAGAGAGTGAATGGCACAAGGAGGAGCTACATCAGCGACCAACAAGTTTGACGGTTTCATTAAAAAAAATATTGTAAAAAATCTCTTGTCTTCGCCACATTGAATTCAGGTTTAACTCGAACGCAGCCCGATAATGATGTAATATTGTGTAGAAATAACTCCTCTGAACGAGAAATTGCACCTATATGTTAGTAGAAACATAGTGGAGCCAGTTGGCGAACATGAGATGTAACGTTATCCCAGGACTAATTAGCAAATATCAGGTTCTCTGTATGTTCAGGTTGAAACATTCACAGCTACAGCCACAGTGAGCATCAGTCAGTCTTAACCTTCATCTCAGCTGCATTTCTCACATGAATCAATCCACAGACACAGGTCACTGAAGTAGGCTGACCAAAAGTTCCTCGGGAAGCTGAAATGTCCCAGTTTACACCAAACACTATCAAACTGTCCTGGTTACAGACGTCACAGCCAATGAAATGTTACACATTACAGTTTAATGCAGCTGCCAGCATCAAGTAATGTTCATGTTTACAGGCAACACTTTGGTGTATGTATTTACCGGTAAGTATAACGTCATTGTGTCGTGTCGTGGATGGATTTGTTAGTTCATTATAACTCATTATAACTCATTTATAACCCATTGTGTGTAACAAGGACAGTTTGATAGTGTTTGGTGTAAACTGGGACATTTCAGCATATTTTTGACAGTAAAGTCGTGTCTGTCAATTTGTATTCATACTGATGAAAGCGTAATCGTTCATTTTCATTTCGTGATTGTAATTCTTGACGTCGTAATTTTTCAATTCGTATTCTGATGGATAAAATACACACAACATATTTTATGTATGACTGGAATCATTCAAGAGTTTACAAATAATTATTTTATGCACAACTACAGCCAAATACGCACGGATTTCTATTCTATGCGCACAAATATTTCTGAAAGCTTTCTTACTCCATCATTTTATTCTGGCATCTCACAAAACGCACTTTACTGACTACAGTTTGTCCAAAAGTCTGTGACATCACTTTTAACAAGAACTAAAAAAAAAAGAAAGCACACTATCCTGTCAGCTTCTCCTGGAGGCAACCTGAACAGAGTCTTAAAAAAGAGTCTTGGAGAGTTAAAACAGTTCTCAGACATGTCTCTTTATTGGTTCAGGTAGGTACAGGTCTCGGATTCAAGTAGATTTGCATGATTCAGCCACACGGCATATCTCGCGTCGTCCCCTGACAACGCCCCCTTAGACGATGTCCCCCATTTTGACTATTCACAGAAAACAGGTGCCTTTATTCTAGTCATCTGACTGCATAACTTGTTGATTTAGCATTTTCTGCAGAAACATACACAATTTTGACCCGACACATGTTTACCATAGACTGGCATATGCTAAAGGTTGGAGACCCACCCCTCATATACAACCCAAAGTCCACACCACATCATATCTCAACCCATTGACACTCCAAGGTCCAAACATTGCACTACTTCTGTATTACAGGGTGAATTAACACGAATGAAACATTAAAAACACAGAGAATAAGTCCACAATCCCGATCAATTCATGCGTCTTTGCACTGGCTTCCTGTTAATTTTAGAATTGGTTTTAAGATTTTATCGTTTGTTTTTAAAGCTTTGAATGGACCGGCCCCACAGTACATCTCGGACCTCATCCAAATTTACATCCCAGCGCTCGCTCTGACGTCCGAGGGTCAACTCAACCTCGTGGGCTCTGAAACGAAACTTCAAACCGGGGGGGACAGGGCCTTCTCTGTGGTTGGCCCCAAACTCTGGAACACTCTGCCCCCCATGTCCCAACAGCCCCCACAGTGGAGAGTTTTAAGTCTCGTCTTAAGATCCACTTTTATTCTCTGGCTTTTAACACCGCGTAAGTTGTGTGGTCCTCTGTGTCTTTTATTTATTTTTGAAAATTTTATTCTAAAATTTTACTTGATTAACTTTAAAATACAACACAAAAAAGATAAATACAAATCCTAGTTTTATTCATTCTCCTTTTATCTTCCTCTTTGATCTCCTGCAGCACAGTAATCTACAACAAAACATGAACAACCAAACCACGGCAATTAAGATGGTGAACAAAAATGCCGCTACATCCAAACAGAAGTAGGAATACCACGGCAGTTTGTAGCCCGCCGCCTGAAGATGGGGCGCGCCTTTATTTCTAATCACGTACTCAATCCAAAACAAGGCTGTGTCCATTGGCTTCATTGGCGTGTCACGGTGCAGTCTCGAAAGACGCTGAATGTTTTCACGGTACGACGGATTCTCTATGACGTCCTGAACCGCCTCCAGGAAATACTCTTTGGTGATAGATTTCAGCTCAACCATCCTGGCAGCCCCGCGCGCTTGTAGGCGGAGCACGTTATCAAACTGTTCGAAAAGCAACGGCAGCCCTACTACAGGAACGCCGTGGTAGATGGCTTCATATATACCGTTTGTGCCTCCGTGAGCTACGAACACACGGGTTTTGGGGTGTCCGAGGAGATCATTTTGAGGCAACCACTTCACCAGTAAAGTGTTGTTGCCTAAAGCAGTTGGTGGATGTCCGGTGTACCTCCATATAACTTTTTGGGGGAGTTCCGCATATGCTGCCGCGATGGCCTCGGTCGCTTTTCGAGGTAAGACGGACACAAAACTTCCTGTGGACATTACAATGACTCCGTGATCGCCGGAACTTTCAACAAACTTTTTCATCTCATCCGAAAGCGGAGAGGGTTCTTGGCACTGGAACCCACCGATATAGACCACGTTGGGCATTGTCGGAAGCGGAAACTCGAAGACGAAATCTGATCTTACCAACCAGATGTCCGCTGAGAGCTCCAAAGTCAACAAGCTGGAACCAGGAGGGAAGTGCCGCTCGATAAGATTGGAATATGCTGGGGAGATGACAAACTGCATCTCTATTTGGCTGAATATCTGGAACAAGACATTTTTCACTCTGTCCATGAAGTCCATCTTGTCTGTAAGTTCTGAACCCGTCTGTGGAATGTAAGAAGATGGTGAAGGCGCCATCGTGAAATGGCTGTCTCCGGTTGTTTATCCAACGAACATTGAAAACCATCGGTAACTTGAGATAGCTTCCGAGGATTGCACCGATGGGCAAACCGGGGTCCGTTAACATCAGGTCGAATTGAGAGTCATGCATTTTCTTCATAAAGACAGGATCATCCAGAAGAAACGCGGTGGAATCAGCAATCATCCTGTGAAACTTACTCAACAGTTTAGTGAGAATGTACTTTTGACAGAAGGGACTCACGAACTGTGACTTCTTACGACATTCCATGACACATGTAAGTATACTGTTGTAGTCCTCCTTGTACTTCAGTGTGCGTATGTTGATGGAGGTGTACACAGTGGAGTTTTCGGGGATGTACCGGCTCTCTGTGGGGCGGAGCAGGGTGATTTCATGGCCTCTGGCGTGTAGCTGTCTCAGGATGAGCTCCATGTTGAGCCAGTGGCTGCCGTCCATCGGGAGCACCACAATCCTGCTGCTGTCGCCACTGGGGCATCCAAGCAGCACGGCAGAAAGGACGGACAAGGCGAGGGAGAGGGGGGTCCACATTCTGTGAAGAGAAGAAGTTTTAT